GAGGATATCAATATCTACAAAAAAGTCCGCGATACCATATGTCTAACTATTACAGTTATGTCACAACTAGTAGTCAACTGCGGTTTCACCCGCGTTAATTTGAAGAAAAAGGTTTATAGTGAGTCAAACTTTAAATGTGGCTGTCGTGGACTTTTTTACAACTTTTAAAGGGGAAGAATTCCATCCTACATGATTTTTATGTAACTTTAACCGTTTACCAAGCTCGCAATGGATTATTTTTACCCGTTTTAGCAACATTTTTGATCGATGCTCCGCTGCTTCTGGTCGTAGCCTGGTTATATATAGCCTATAGCCTTCCTCGATAAATGCACTGTCCAATACAAAAGAATTTCTCAAATCGGAACAGCAGAGCAATGTTGCAACATTGCTCTGCTGTTTTTTCTGATTCGGTACAACGGGTCCTAAACTACGCAACGAATTTTTTATTTGGAATGGATGGTTTATAATTATTATGAAGAAAGTCATTGTGTAGGTAAAATACAAGCCTTTGAACATTAACTATAATCTATACTACAGCTCTACACCGAAGCAAAGCGAGGGCGGGCCACTAGTCGTTTATACATAATTACAAAACCAAAATTATCGCAAACTAATTATTAATAAATATATTCCCTCCCTGACTCCCAGAGTCCATTAAATATGTACCTACTAGCGAAAAAATGGTTATTTCTCAATATGTTAAGTAACCCTTTTTTTTGTAACATGAAGTAATATCGTTAACGTAAACTTTAAAAACTCAATGTATGATTATTATAAATTTAATGAAAACTAGAGTTTTTCATTAAATTACAATAATCATACATACCTATTATGATAATTTATTTTTCATCATTTAATAAGAAGGTACTGTAGAATAGTTTTATTGTAAGTACTTCGTATAGGATAAGATACTGCGAGTAGCCAATTTTTTTCTTTTTCGCCTAGGTTTTATCTACGTTTAGAAATTAGTCGAAATGACATAGTGTTAAAGGCAAAGTTAATCGTCTTTAAATATCAAAAGCGATAAAAGTATTTGTATTGATAAAAAATAATTTCTTAATACAAAATGTGCATTTTGGAAATGGTCATAAATTTATACTTTATTTTAGATTTACTATTTTAGCGATTATGGCTTGCATATTAAAAATAGATATATGGTGTCGCAGACTTTCTTGTAGAACTATTTAAGAGATACATTTTCACTGTATATTATATTCGTGTAACTTTTATTGTTTTTGAAGTGTAGGCCAAAATGGCTCGCAGATGGAAGATTTTTTACCGTCTTACGTGACACTTATTGTTATATTTTGGCCAATTGACTCAATGACTGCTTAAATTGTTATCTGTATGTTATTATCATGTATGAGCTATATTACTGTAAAGTTTCATTAAAATCCATTTAGTATTTTTTAGGTGAAAGAGTAACAAAGGTCCACAAACGTAAGATTGAAATTAAAAGCGTAAGTGGTTAATATACAACTTTAAATCGTTGTAGATCCTAAACAGTTACATAAAATGAAAAATAACGTAAGGAACCTAATCATGATTTTCGATTATCTAGACAACGATACCGCACTCGACATATTTCGTCAACTTATTTTTTTTACTTCGTTACAATATGGCGCCTAATTGTCCCCATATTGAATTTTGATTACTATCATATCTTTAGTAGCAGTCCCATGATTAAAACGAATCGATTGATGTATAATTCATCAAAATCGGACAACGCGTTTGATCTCTAGTGTGCCACAAAGGAACAAACATACATATATAGACTGTTAAACACAACAACAACTTTTTAAACCTTTTTATACCCTGTCTGCGCGTCTTCAATTACTTCTTGTTGTTCTTCTTCATCCTGGGTTTAGTGAAGGTGAATTGCGCCAGTAGCGATGTATCGCATGTCTCGTTGGTAGCAAACGAATCCTCTACTGTTGGTGATTCAACATTATAACACGACTGGCCATTCGACAAATTTCCAACCCCAGTCTTTTGGGTCTAGCTGATAACCAAGCCGCACTTGAACTTACATACCCGTAGAAGATGTTGATGAGCAGCAACTAAGGTTGGAGGGAAACGAGCTTATTGCATTGGTTTTTTTTTATTTCGAGTGTTTTTAACAAGGCATGCATATTGATACTTATCTAAGCTTGTAGTTTTTAGGAGCTCCTTAAATAGAAAGAAGAAAGCGAATTCCGTTGGTGATAATTTTTTGTGGAGTTGAATTACTTATTTTTTAAACAGCTATTGATTTAGTCAAAAACAGCGTATTGAGAAGCGAGATGGCGCAGGTGGCTAGCGCGTTCGGCTGCGATCGTTGAAGTTAAGCAACTTTCGCAGTGGTCGGTCATTGGAAGGGTGACCAAAAAAAAAATTTACTATCTCGAGTTCCTCCGTGCTTCGGAAGGCCCGTTAACCCTTATTTTTTACAGCTAGTTTTTTTTTTATAAAAATTGTCCATATGTTTCGCCGCGAATAAATTTTGCTTAAAACTGCATGAGAATGCCTGTAAATGGAACGTCAATGTGTGCATGACTGTCTGACTGTAAATGAACTTTTGTCCTGAGCTGGCTGGCATGGGTGCAGAGTTGAAGTACTTTGCGGTCATTGTGATCCTACTCTAACACGAACCATTATCAAATTCGAATAGTTTGCGAGTGCTAAATGTCCATGTCAAATTTTGTGTGGAGACTTGAACAGCACCGCCACAAGTACGTAATGAGAACTAAAAATCAGTACACAATGACAATGACATTTCGGACTCGCAAACGTTACGAATTCGAAATTGTTTCGTGCTAAGTGTAGTGAGCTCAGCCTTTGTAGTGGATTTTTTAATACAGTTCTCGCGTTTTATGGTAATACTAGCGGCCCGCACTCGCTTCGCTTCGGTGTAGAGTTGAAGTGTAGACTACAGTTTTTGTTCTCAGGCTTGTATACACAATGACATTCATCTATGATTCTTCTTATATCTGCATGCAAAGTCTCAACCCGATCGGTTTAAAATTGACAAAGTTTCATACAAACTTATATAGTTACATATTTACATATTGCACATTATAGTTATATATTTATAAATTTAACTTACAATCACCGATAGATAAATATTTTAACTTACTACTCTGTGTAAAAAGTATCGGGAATATGTCAATTAAAAGACCCGCGTAAAAGAGGTTGTTTTATTTTTTTTCTGCGTGTTGGTATCACTGTACTGATTTACCGCGCAAATTTTTAACGGGATCTGTCATTTAATTTGTTTAAAACTGCACTTTTTGTTAGTCATAATTTGAGTCCTCGGTGATTTTTACAATGGAAAATATTGTTGAACAAAGAATCTGCCTTAAATTTTGTGTTTCGAATGAGATTTCATGTGGCGAATCGCTAAAACTATTGCAAAAACCCACGGCGAATCGTGCATATCAAAAACAAGGGCATATTAATGGTATAAGGCTTTTAAAGAAGGCCTATAAGTAGTAGTAGACTTGCCTCGTTCTGGTAGACCTTCAAACCGCTACGACAAAAGAAAACATCGACAGAATCAAGAAGCAAGTGCTCGAAAATCGAAGTATAAGTCTGAGAGATTTGGCTAGTGAGGTGAACATATCTTTGAAGTCCGTCCACAACATTCTCATTGACATTTTAGGCATGAATCGCGTCGCCGCTCAAATAATTCCAAAAGAGCTCAATTTTGTTCAAAAAGCGCAGCGAAAGCATGTCGCTTAGACATGGTTTCCCGAGCTTTACGGATCCTACCTTTATGAAACGTATAATAACTGGCGAAGAGACATGGGGTGTATGAGTACGACATGCAAACACATCAACAGTCTTAACAATGGCATTTAGAAAACGAGCCGAACCCCTAAAAACCGCGTCTAAGTCGTTTCAAAATCAAGGTGGCAACACTACACAGAGCCATTATTGTGAAAGAGTTTTTAGCGAAAATTTCAACAAAAGTTCTCGACCGAACACCGCATTCACCTGATATGGCTTCGTCTGACTTTTTTTTATTTCCCAAGTTGAAATTACCACTTCGAAGAAAATGTTTTGTGTCGATAGAAGCCATAAAAGAAAATTCGCTGCATGAGATAAAGGCCATACCACAAGTAGCCTACGAAAAAAATATGGAGGACTGGTTGAAGCGGTCGAGATATTGTTTTGCAAGCATTTGTATTTTTTTGTTTTATTGAAAAAAATCCCGATACTTAGTACTCAGAATGTATATTAAAGCTACAGAGATGCATATTATACGTGACGTACTTATGCATATTATGACGCTTACAACTTTTTAAATTGTTATATCTCAGGAACGGTAGCTTTTAGGAAAAAAGTAATTAATAAATACTTTTTATAGATGATTTTATGATCTACAATTTTTGTCTAGATAATTTTACGAGAAAAACCGTTGACCTCGAGTAAATTTTATTCCAAGTACCGGAACGACGGGGAATTGCAATGTTATTTTTAATGATGTTTTGGACAACTTTACTCACTTTCAGCGTGATGTTAATTTATGTACCTTCACTCTTATTTTTCTAACTTCACCGGACTATAATTTCGCCAAGTGTATCATCAATCATCGAACATCCTTACTTTTAGTTTGATCTCATTATACTTAAAGTTTCAATGCAGGTTGCAAACCTCTGCTTCTTTGGGTTTTTCAACAGAGCCATTTTGTATTTTGTAGTAATCATGTAGTTTTAGTTTCGAACGACTCTTATTATAATATAAATAGTAAATTTTTGTGTAGGTTATTGTTTAGATGGCTGTGATTTTACGCATAAATTGACAAAAGAGTCTTCATTAATTGACTCAAAGTAACCTTTTTCCTCAAATTAATCATATTCATCGGCTGTTAGGCGATACTAAGTTCGCCGGGTCAGCTAGTATTTATAGAATCTCAAAAACCACTTGATTATAGATACTTACCAATAATAAAGCTAATTATATTGTCTTTATGTAAAGGGTCACCAATGTAGTACGCTTACATTTTGATGTTGTTTCAGTCACTATTTGTGGACAACCCGTCACGGCACCCCATCGTTATATTAAAGGATGTCAAGTTTGCAGACCTCCGCACTATGGTTGACTTCATATACTACGGAGAAGTAAATGTTACAGAAGATCAATTGCCAAAGGTATGTAAAGCTTTATCTTTTACTTAGTTCTTTGTAGTGTATTCAAATCCTATTTGGTTCTTTTCTTATTGGCTATTATTGCACATGCATGTCAAATCAAAGTTCTTACGATAGATTTATGAATCTACTGTATTGTAAATTAGATCACTCAAAGCTCGCTATACCGTGAAAATTTATTCTGTTTATATGAAAGGACATGTAAGAATTACTATACTTGGGATCATGCGTACATCTAGCTTTTTGAAGGATGTCGAAGCTCTAAAAACCAAGTCTGTATAAGACTGAAGAATTTTCGCAGCGTTTAAAATGAAAATGAACTTTAATCTACTTATGAAAATGAACCTAACCAGCACCTTTCGTTATTTAGAAAACTTTACCAATCACAGTCCTGGGACATTATAAGGACTGATATACAACTTCATGTTAGATGCTTTAAATTTTTAACAGCTCTACGTATTTTATTGCGCCATTTGTTGTTTAGCCGTTTTGTTTGCTGATTCACGGTCTGCTGTCCTACATTCGTTACGTTTAGGTTTTTTTTATTCATTCTATTACATCCATAGAGAAGCCTGTTCTCTGGCAGTTAGGGAGTTAATAGGATGATGATGCCGACATTGGATTAAACATTTAAAATTTATTTTATTTCAGAAGTCATCAATTTGACTTTTCATCTAAGTGGCCACTTTAGTTATTCTCATACTTAATCTTAGTTAATTTTGCCATATTACGAATAAAAAAAAACCGGCCAAGTGCGTGTCGTGCTAAGCGCAGTGTACGGTTCCGTTCCAAGTTGCTCGTCGTCACCACAATATATTGCGTAAAGAGGCTTTTAAGCCATTGCTTCATCAAAGTCACTTTTGATGATTTCCTCTCTTGGATTTTTTATTAGGTCAGAAATTTTCTAATACATAAGTTGAACGACTATTACTCTTAAAATAACAAATCTATTTTAACCGTTATAATTTTTATTAAAAGTTAATGAAAAGCACTATTATCATGAATTTTTCCAGGTTTTTCAAGTCAATAGTTTAGCTTTTAGTCAGGGGACGCCCTACACGAACAACAAGTGGCAAAATAAAATGATCTGCAGGTTACATGTAGGGGAGCTACCCTAAAAAAATATCCTTAATAAGTTTATTCTACCATTTTGTCGGCGTGATTGATATACATATCTCCTCAAAATAACAGCTCCCTAGTGCTAACAGTTTCCAAGCAATACCGAGGACGGACAGACAGACGGTCATGACGAAATTATAAGGGTTCCTCGTCAGGACTACGGAAACCTAAAAAATTAAACTAGCAACCTTACTATTTTAGAACCACTATTCTCCAGCAGTTGGAAAGAAAACTGGCGGGCAAGTTGAATATAATGTATTGTCAGGCAGTGTCAGATTTAGAGGTGTGGGGGCCCCTAAATCTGGGCCGGAACGTTTCACGTTTTGCACCACACTCGCCCCTGGTTTGGTGCCCCGTCGAAAGGACATTGCTCGTTTCCCAGACATTGAATGCCCTAGAACGCACAGCAATGAGATAATGCTAGTTGTGTTCGGAATCATTCATAAACTCTAATTAGGCATTTGTTGAGATACGGACAACTTGAGGAACTAGATAAGAGGAGGTATTAGATTTGGAGAACATAAAATGCAATTAATAATAATAAATGCTTATATTCATATTGATTTATGAGTGTTGGTAGTTGGCACCTTTATTTTTTGTGACGAGGGGAAATGCAGTTACGCACCATACCGTGACGCTGACTAGGCGCACGGCGTGTGTGGGACTCGCCGGCACGGGAAACAGTGCCGACCCTACTCAAGCAGGACCAGTGCGGAAGGCCACACTGATCCTACTCCACTAAAACCCCCCGGTACCCTCCTACGCCCATATGGGGGCGTCTCGGGGCCGACGCACCTGCGTGCGCCACATCTCCGAGCACGCCCCCGGGTGGTAGTTGGCACCTATGATACCTATACCTACCTGTTGTAATAATAGATTTCTTTTCAAATGAAATGTTCAAAGTCTTTCCATTTACCTGTTTCTATATTTTACTATCGGTAATAAGGTATGTACCTGGTTATCATTAGGATTTTCATAAAAATAAACAGATATTATATGGGATGGGAGTATAAACTATCTTTACATAATTTTAGAAATAATCTCTTTATAAATATAATATCAATACTAGTAACAAGTATTATTAACTGAGGATTAACTAAGGTACCTAGTTCTATTCATAAGTTGATAAATACTTATGGTCGCCTATATTGCATTTATTAAGGTAAACAATCTTGTCACAACTTTTTAACAAAATCACCCATTTAAAAATAAAATAATAACGAAGCCAATAAAGTATTAAAATAAATCGTTATTATAGACTGAAACCTATTGAATCCAGTTATCAGTTGATTTTTAATGCTGTAGTTTCAATAAAAAGGAGTGCCAAGATTGTTTACCAAATAGGACAAGTTAGGATGAACGGACTGTAATATCATATATGTTAGGGTAGTTAGGGTCAAATAAATAAATTCAATATTACAAAAAAGATTTTTAAATAAAGTACTTTATTAACTAAATTAAGTAATAAATACATACATAGACAATAAAACTTTAAAAATCGAATAATGAAATAACCGAACGCTCAATAAAAGTCTTTCGAAGGTAGCTCGACAAAATTAAATCAAAAATTGATTCTGACGACGCAGCCTATAAAGGCTGCGAAACGTCAATAAATAAATAAAGTTTCGTGCATTAACCCGAAAAAAACTAGTTTTATTTAATGAGTGATGTGCGTGAAAACCTAAGAAACAAATATCATATAATGTTACATATACACGGTGTTTTAAAAATAGAAATAAAGCGAAAAGGGTGTTGAAGGGTCCCTTATATAGAGCTCATTGCCAATATATGGCGACCGTAGCTTAATATTATTATTTGCCGAAACTTTAATTATTCTTCATAAAAAAATAAAATTATCGACATTGCAGCGCAACTCTTTTAAAAGTTCATTACCCTTACCAGGAGTAGTATTACCTCCTACTAACTTAAATAAATCTACTCCTGGTATCCAGTATCAGTACGTACCTCATCTAGCTAATTTTTAATCAACTAATAATAATATTCAAACCCAGTGTTTATTTTAGTAGGATAAAAGATGGATTAGCTTACTTAATTCAATTAATAATTCAAAGTAAAAATCAAGTTTAGAGTCAACTTAGAAATCAAAAATAAATAATAAGGAACGACCTCAATTCGTACCTATCTAGGTAATTGCTTACATACATGAATAATTTAAGTATTATAAAAGAGTTTTCAGCATTAAACAAGTGTATTTATCATACTTTTAAGGCTTGGTTGGTATGTATGTACTATCTAGCACACACAAGATTTAGATTAATGATTTTAAGTGTTATTTCTAGGTAAAAGTAGGTATAACAGAAAATCAGCTCACCACTTATTCTTTCGTGAAAATAACCTGATATCATATCAGGTCCGGAACTCGAAACACTTGTGACACACTCACTTAACAACAACTTAGAGGAGACAACACTCCACATAACTTCAGAGTCTTAGAGGAGCGGTTCAAAATGAGCTCCTCCTTGCTGAAAACACAGCGATGCCCGTCGGGACACGGCTTGGGTCGCATTTCTCAACATCGTTGGTGTAATTGACGCGAACACAGATCTTACTCGTTGCTCCATTTCTCCAAGTGTTGGACAATCAGTGAAGTACACCCTGTCCTTCACGTAACCCCACAAGAAAAAGTCCAACGGCGTGAGGTCTGGAGAACGAGCAGGCTATTGAACCGGTCCTCCCCTACCAATCCAACCTCGCGGGAATCTAGCATTGAGGTACTCTCTAACCTGGTGTGCAAAATGCGCCGGCGCCCCGTCATGTTGAAACACCATGTTGCTAAGATTTTCAAAATACTCCCGGTCTACCACTGGAAAATCGTCTATAGCATCTTCGAGTTCCGTTTGTAGAAATCTAAGGTAGTTGCCACCGTTCAGACGCGAGGGCAAAATCACGGGACCAATGACATGGCCGTCATAAATACCAGCCCACACATTCAACCGCCACTGATGTTGGAATCTGCCCTGCCGTGAAACACGTGGATTTACCCGAGCCCAGACGTGATCGTTGTGAACGTTCGCAACTCCCGATCTTGTAAAAGTTGCCTCATCCGTCCAAAGAACACAGTTCCCGTAACTAGGGTTCGCTTCTAACTGCCTGAGGTACCACTCGCAGAAGTTTACCCTTGGCGTAAAATCAGCTGGTGTCAGCTCTTGCGTGCGGCGGTAGTGGTACGGATGCTGACCATCGTCACGCAGAATTCGCCAAACAGCAACGTGTCTCATGCCGAATCTTGCCGCGGCTCTTCTCGTAGAAGCGGTTGGCTCCTCTTCAAAATGACGCAAGACCTCCTCGACCTGCCTGGGATCAACAGAAGTGGGACGTCCACTACCAGGAGAACGGTGAAATGAACCAGTAGAGTGCAAGCGTCTGGTTATATCTAAAAAACATTGGTAAGATGGTAACCGTCGTTGTTCAGCAGGTGGTCTACCATCGACAAAACGTTGTCGATACAGTTCACGAGCACGATTTAAATTTCCATCTTCATGACCTACGCATAACATCATTTCGTAATATTCTGAGTTGGAATAACGATTCATTTTTATTCACTTAATGCAAATTAAAAACTACGAAAACAAGAAAATGACAAATCACAACTATCGCACTGAAACACTTTCGATGGACTGAAACAACGATCTAATGAAATAACCACAAAGCGGGAAGCCGCTATACCTAAAATTTGAGCGCACGCGGCGCATCTTGTGCCTTTTATTATACCTAATATTTGAGCGCACACCTAACCTTGAACTTTTTGGGTACTTCGATTAACAAAATAAATACATCACGGACTAAAACATAACTCAAAGAATATCGCTCCTATTCATAAAAATGAAAACAGTTTAATAAACCTGTTTTAGCTAAAACACTGT